ACAATGATAAAACCAACACCTGCAGACACTCAGTGACAGTGAGTTCATTCCCGGAAAAAGATTTCACTCTGAGTTTTTCCTAGTGTCTCCTACAGAAAGTTTAAAAATACAATAAATACACAGTGGGTTTCAAAGCAATTTGTTGTCTTTCATATTAATTGCTATCAAATATATCCAGATACAACAGCCATTCAGCTTAGGATAACCAGGATGGAAATTTCAACATAATCCACTCATGTACTACAAGTGAAAGTTTCTCTGCACAGAAATCACAGGATGACAGCTAAATTCCTTCCAAAGATAAGCCTGAGATAAAAGAAAAACCAGCCTAGTTTCTGCATATGGGCTAATTACGAACTAAACTCTCCTCACAGGATCTGGAGTACAGAAGACCCCAATTCCCTAACAGATGAAATGTCCTAAGTCTTAAAAATACATCTTCCATACACACACAAAAACTGATTTCCCAGGCTTTTTAAAATTACTGCTTGACTACATAAATCATCAATTTCATCATGAAACAAAACCAAGTTAACTGTCTTAAGTAACACAGAAATACTCTAGAGGGAGGTTTAGCACTGCAGCAACTCTAAAATCATCCTCACAGGAAGAAACAAGTAACTTAAGTTCATCTGTTAACAAAACAGCTCCTGAGCAGTCAACCCACGGCTGCTCCTTGTTTGTCCCCAAGTCGGGGACCCACCCTTAAAATCCACAATCTCTTCCTGCTCTCCCACAGCAACCTCCTGCATCCTTTGGGATTAAAAACTCCAACCCATTCTGCCCAGACTGCAGGCAATGATCTCATGGAAAGCTGCTTGCTGGCTTTGCAGGGCAGGTACCTCAAGTTATTTTTTCCTGCCGCTCCAGGGGTTCTGTAGCTCAGAGGCAGAGGAAAGAATTTGCTTCACCCTGGAATTTTTGTTTTGTATTCCAAGCCTGTTGTGAGCTGTGTTTGCCAGGCTGCAGCTGTTTTGCCTGGTGGGATTTAGGAATCAGCCCAGGTGACTGGTGTTCCATGCTGACAGGGTTCTATTTACAGAGCTCCCCAGCACCATTCCCAAATCTCCCAGCTGTTCCTGTGCAGTGTCTGCCATCCTCCTGCTCCTACAGTCACCACTGAAACACTCCAATAAAACAGTGTATTTTCAAGAGTTTGGCATCCATTCTATCAGAGATTTGTGGTATTTTGGCTAAAATTAAACTCAATTTCTCTCATTCCTTACGAGGGTAATACCATCACCTTTCCAGTCTTCACATGACAAAGTAAATTTTCACAAAGTGTTGGAATACATGATAAAGAACAGCAAAGGAAAAAAAAAAAAACTTAGCCATGGCAGAAGTTATTAAGACATGGTGGGAATGTCTGATTTGAAGCCTTATGATTTTAATCCTCTGAATAATTGTTCAAAAGGCCACTGGGCAGCTTAGCACCCTTGTTAGAACCTGGTAAAAGAAATGGTCAGCTTCTGTTTTGCTTTTAAAAATGGAAAACCAGTACATTCTAGCAAATATATAAATATAGAAAAAATACATATATAAAGATATAAAATAAATCATGTTATGTATCTGCTTTATATATTATGTATACACATGCACACATTATACTGACAAAAACTGCCATAGGAATATTGTAAATTTTTAGGAAATGTTAATGCATATATTCTGATGTCTTGAAATGAGTGTGTTTTCTAGGTCTGGTGAGACACAGGGTGAGGGAAATGGGTAAGGGTGGCCATGGTGTCTGCTTACATCCACCTCCCCACCTTTCCTGCTCCTCTCACTCCACCTCAGGCTGCTTTTCCCTCTCACATCCATTTCATCGTATTTAAGGCTCCTCTCCTGACCACTACCATGGATACAAGGAGCTGCCAACAGGACTCTGTGGCTATAAACTACATTAACTTTTCTCCAAGTCTGAAAATATTTCAGATGCATGAAGTTTCTCAGTGCCACAGACACAGCAATCAACACCGAGTGCCCTGTCCCTTCCTGATGACAGATAAGCTGGTTTTACTGAGCACCCACAGCTCTTCACTGTTAATTTGACCTCTAGAAAACACAGGAGAAAAAAAAATCCTAACAATTACTGCCTCTTTAAAAAAAAAAAAACCAAACTGAAAAGACACTTCTACTTGTGCCTCACTTGAAATGTAGCTCAGGGAATGGGCTCTCCCACCTTTTTTGTAGAACATCAGTGCCTTTCGCTGAGGTACTACAATTAGAAACTCATTAGCATGCAGGGAAACTCAACCTCCTTGAGGTTACTTGCAAATTCCAAGGGGCCAGGCCATGCTGATTGCCTGGAGTCACGTTTTACTCTGAAACAATGATAATGAAACATCAAGCAAAACCAAAACATGACAAGAAAGGTCATCTGTGTGTTCCCAGACTGTGAGGGACTGGTCTCTTGAGTTAAAAGTGTGAAATAATAGTAACTAGAGCAGAGATGTATTTATAATCTCAAGAAAAACCCCCAAAACCATTTTACCTATTTAACATGCTGGGGAAAACATTTTTTTTTTTTTTTTTTTTTTTTTTTTTTGTAGGTAGCAGCAAAAGCACACATTCAGTAAATTGTTTTTTCACCATAAGAGTATTCTCAGGCACTGATTTCAGGTAGCTTATTAATCATGGAGAACAGCTAATAATAACAATATAAAATTGCAATTTAAATGCTATTAGCAGGCATACTGTCAGTGGGAAATGAGAACCTTTCTGAGCTCTCATTTCTGAATATTAAGGTAAGCCTCTAAGCATATATTAAATAATGCAGGACCAAAAATACAAGTGGAAGAGCTGAGTGCAGAATCTGATCTAGAAAACTGCAGAATTGCTGATACATTGGATCCTTCTCCCATTTATACCACGGCACAGCCTAGAAAAGCCAGGAAAGAACCCACTGGAGATGGGCAATAAACAAAAAACAGCTCCAAAAACCTTCAAAGGCAACAGGTGAAAACACAACGCAAAAAAAAAAACTGGACAAAATAAGAGCAGGGAAATTTAAATCCAGGCCCTGTAATTCATCACATACATTTGCACCACTTACCATGTAATTAGGGGCAAGTTATAAACACTGGGCTGGGGTGTTTCACTTGCCTTTGGACAGGTTCTCCTGCTCCCAACAAAAGCACTCTGTGTTTAGAAACTTGGCACCCAAGTGCAGGGCACCAACCTACAATTTTTTTTTAAACCAACAAAGCCTTCAGTTCTGGGAAACTGATTTTCACCGGCCACCCTTCCACTGCTTCTAACTTGCCAAAAAAAAGTCAGATGTCAGAATATTCCAAATTCCCTAAGGTGACAAGAGGCATTTGGAGAGAATCTGTGAAAAGGTTTAGAAATCTGGCTTCATAAACTACTGAGCATTTCCAGCTCCCTTTAGAACTGGTTTAAAAGGAATATCCCACTGCAGATGAATGCGACTTCCCATTTATTTGGAGCACAATTTCTCTCCCCAAAAGGCTTCATGTGCAATTTTATTACCACCACCAAAACAGAAATCCTTTTAGAAGAAGCATCCAACATTGTTTTGGAGCCGTGCACTTATCAGCAATCCAAGGAAGCGATCCCACAAGACTTCATTCATGGAAACTGCTATTCAGTGAATCTCAAATGCTGCAGCTGCATTGCTGCAAAGCTGGGGGGGGGTTAAATCCAAGGAGCTGAAAGCCTCAGTTGTTAGGTCTGAGCTTTCTGAAGCGCAGTGTAATTATTTTTCCAACTTATCAAGACTATTCCCTAAACGCAGTGACTGTTGTGTCTCTGCCTGTAAAAGACATTCCCAGTGTCTAATGGATAAATGTGTTAAGAACTGGTGTTACATTTTCTACATCAGTTAAAAAAAAATCACTCAAGAACACACATGTTTAACCACAGTTTCAGGAGGCACCATCATTGAAAAATTCAGGTATTTAATCAAATGTAGTTCAGCTGTCAATGGAATTGATACTTGCCAGGGTAAACTCATAACTGGAGGAAGAATGGGAGCACCAGTAATTTATGGCACTATTGTCAGTGAGTGGGCTTAACTCAGCACAAACTCCACGGGCTGAAGGAAGGGTTTGCAGACGGGTTTTAGGCTGAGAAGACATGCAGAAAATCCAGCACTGGAACCTCATCCATCACAGGCACAGGAATGATCTTTTCCCAACTGACAGTGAAGCCTGGCCCCAGAACAAGTTTGCTCTGTGTATTCTGGGGGTGATGCAGCACTGGGGACTTAAAGGATGTTTAACATGACATCCTACAAACTGCACTTGGAAGCAGCCTGGTGGCAGCTTGTGTTCTCACATTCCACGTCAGGCACATCTCCAGTTGGATTTATGGCATACTGAGCTCCACGAGCTCACTCCCTTGGATTTTATTCTACCTTTAATCTATTTTAAAATAAATTAATGTATTTTTAATCTGTTGTACTTGGACTTAAGCTCCAAGAGCCTTTACTGTAAATTAAACAGGCAGCTGCCCCTTATTAGATGCTTTCTAATTTTGGACTGGGGGAGAAAAAGCAATCCTCCCTCTTTTCTCACAAACAAATCAAAATTCATTCCACTCCCTATCACAAGCATGAGGCCAAATCTGCTTTTATTTCAGATGAATGGGAAGCTGCTCTTACTGAAGAATGTGAATTTAAATTTATTTTGGATCGAGTAAGCCAGAACATTTCCTCTCCCTCTAATTGACCCGATTTTACCTTTCACTCAAATTTCACACTGACTTCTGAGAAAACCACATGGAGTTTGACTTTATAACAACTGGGAAAAAATGTTAAAAATGTTTTATGTACTCAAGAACTTCCTCAAGTCAAAATACATGAAAATACAGAGTGGGCCTAAGTCCTGTATAGATCAAACTGCTTCAGAACTTCAACACATTTCATGGTAAGTAACTTATGAAAAGATAAATGAATAAAGCATACACCATGGTAATTTGCTGATTAACTGATTTTACCAACAGAACAATGCCACAGCCATCAAAATGATTCCAGAACCTACCTGTGCATATTCTTTCTCAATTGCAGCTCTTTTCTGACTGAATGCTCTGAAAGAAAAGCAAAGCAATTCAGTTAGAACACGAAGCAAAACACTCCAAATTCAATAATTTAGTCAAAATCCATTAACACAGAGAGCAAAACTGCACAAATTCAATAATTTACTTTAAAAGGAGCTTCTGCTGGACAGTCTGCAGCGTGAAACAACAACAAAAAAGGGAAATGGTTTGACAAGTGCACATCAGTAGCCCAGCAACGATTGTGTGTGGACTTCACATGTGTGATGGCTGAATTTCCAAGTTTTCTTGGGCAAACTCAGTTCCCAGGACTACTCAGTTCCCAGGCATAAATAGCATTTTCTTCATGGAAAGCTCAACAGCTTTCCAGCAGTACAGCTGAGCGAGGAATTTGGGAGCACAGAACAGGATTTGACATTATGTACCTAGACAGACTTACTTCATTTTCTTCAGACTCGTTTTGATGAGAGTTATTTTCTTTAAGCTTTACCACAAAAATCTAATTATATTTAAATTAGTTACACAATAACTCTGGTGACACGCCAATAAAGAAAAAAAACACACCTCAGGAACATCCTCTAAAGCAGTTAACTCAATAAAAAGGAGCTCTGGACAGGCTCCTTTTATTCTTGCCTACTGCATTTCATCCATGAAGAGTATCCAAGTGCTACAGGCTCAGCTTCCCCAACAGGATGTAAAACAAAAGTTTAAATGCATCATGATTGCTTAAAATTCTTTCCAGATCAGTGACAGCCCAAAAGATCTGGCCATATTCCAGCTCCAAGAGTTAAACTTCCCAAATCCCCCTTGTGTAGCCCAGCTGGGTTCCAAGGGCTGTGTAATGCCCATATGAAACACCTTGATAGGGAAGTTTGAACAAGTGAAGTTGGCTGAGATGCCTGTGAATGAATTTCCTTTGTAAAGCATTCCAAGTATTCCAGCTAATATTATAACCCAATTTTTTTAGGATCTCCTGTTCCAAAATCCAATATCCCAGTGAGTTTAGCAAACACCTAGAAACCACAACATTCCTCTGAAAAGACTCACTTTTCTATCAGAAGTACAAAGAACTGCACAAATAACTCCAAGGAATAACTGAAAGGTGTTATCAATATTGAAAAGGTAAGAAAACAAGAGGCAGTCTTTGGAACATAAATCTGGGAATACTTCAGGCAAACAAAGTTATTTTCCAATTCTCAGCTAACTGCATTTCAAAACATAGAATCAGGGCTGAATTACACCAAACCTGGATATGAAGTGGTGTATTTCACCTGAGCTTTTCCTCACCCCATTCAAACCAATTTCCTCTTAAATTAATTGCAAAACAATGACTGTGACAAGCAGGAAGCCCCAGATATCCCCAAAACTTTCTACATTAAAAGTTTTGCACCAGAAAGAAAAACAAAAACATTCAACCAGCCCTTGTGGAGGATTACAAAATAACAGGGGAATCAAATTGACTCCCAAAACCAACTGAAATCTTGGAATTGGATCGACCACAAGCTTCATAAGGACGAGAACGGATTGTACAGCAGCACCTCCTTATGAGAAATATTTCAGTTTTAGATTTTGTTCTGTATTTTAAATGGAGAAATAGTTGGCAAGACGCTGTATCCAACATTGAAATTTGTTTTGCTGAATGAAGAAAATGTTGAAGTGTGGAAAGGCTGTCGGGATCAGCCGCCTGCATTCCTTGGAGCCGGTGCTCCCTGCGGCTTTGGGACTGCGCTTCCCTCCCCTGGACCAACACAAAGCTGCTTTTAACCTTGGGACAGCTCATACAGCAACCCTTCTAAGACAACTATGAATGGATTACAAAACATGATGAAAGGGGAGACTGAAGTCAACACATTTCCCAGGAGAAAATTATTTTGAGCAGGGGAAAAGAGAATTCTGACTAATAAATGCATCATCGTTTCTTAACTTGGGCGGTGTGAAAACTTTGACGTGTGCATCCAGATTTTATGTGCAAAGCTGGGATAGTCTTAACCTTATTGTCCTCCAGGATGGACTTTCAAGTCCATTCATATAAGGAAACATTTGTTTCCATGAAGTAATAAAATGTTCTCTTACTACTGGTAGCTTTTTACAACATGAGGTAGTGAGTCTGCAAGAAAGCAGGAACATTATTTCGTGTGTTTTTAAACTAGGGAGCATTAATACATACTTTTACACCTTTTTCTCCAAGTAACCATTAACTAAGTGCAGGAACCACCAGAATTGCACTCCCCAAAAAGGCATTTTAGTTTGTGGATGGTAATTCCTCAATATCTTGTTTATCCTGTCAACATTAATGCGATACATTTATTCCCTTCCCATTTTCTCTCAGGCTCTGTGAGATCAGGGAATTCTAACAGAGCAGGAGAAAGAACACCTCTTCCTATCCCCACTTTGCTAGTGACACTTTTTCTAGTGTTGAGCCCTCACTGCAAATTCCCAACCCCAAATTTCAACCACTGGCATGTATTTTCATCACTCATATACATTAAAGGTAACAGATGCTGTGAAATATTGAGGTATCTTTTTATACTCCCATTGCAGAAGAACATAACAATGTGAATTAAGGAGTCAGGTCAGTGGAGAATCATATTTCATTAAGTTTTCCTACAGGGAAACAGGAGAAACAGATGGGCTTAATTATTTCATGGATGCCCACTTGGGCTGGAAATGTGTAAAGCTCACACCTTCATGAAAAATCAATAGAAGAACATTAAAATACACATTAGTGTTTTATAAGACAATGTCCCATCTGCCAATATTGTGCAGTTGTACAAATCTGAAGATCAAAGTCACAGCTTGCACAGCAGAAAGTTCAACCCAGTGACACCCTGAAAACCAGAAAGTGAATTAGTCACTGTATAAAAATTTAATTCCATGCAGAGCTATGCAAAAACGTAAACACACACTTCATGTTCAGGGCTCTTGAATAAAAGAAGAGGCTAAATTTGCACCAGTGAATATATTTCTATTCAAAGGCTGAGAAATTCAACAATTAACCAGGCAAGGCCTGAATCCCATTTGGAACAATTTTTCGTGCAAGATGATGATAATGATCAAAAACCCAAGGTATTAACTGGAAAATTTGTACAGCTCACCTGACACAGCAGGTTGTGTTTGTGAGTTTTTTGGCTATGAGAATTCAGACTGATTGTCTGGAAATTTTGATGAAATTTTAAAATCCTTACAATTAACACAAAACCTCAGAAAACAGATAAACTACTATCACATCCAAAACACCCCAAAAATTCTGCTAAAGAAACACACCTTTTGACTGACCATGACCTGCAATTAATTCACCCCATCAAAAATTCCCAAAGTACATCTCCCTAAGAACTGCAGAGCACATTGCAGCTGGGTCAAAACTGACTCAATCCACCACCACTCAAGAAGATGAATCAGTGAATTTTGAAATACCCAAAAATTTCCAGCTTCCCAGAAAGTAGATCAAGGATAATTCCTGACAGCTAGAACACACAGCAGTGGAAAAATATGACTTTACAACTTGTGCTTATAATGTACACTGGGAGCACACACACTCAGTGTGCAATCATGTCCAAAGTAACACTATCCTGGGGTTTTTTTAGTATACACTCACTCCAAAATTTTCCATTAAAAACATGAAATCAGACAGCTCTCATTATAAAAAAATAAAAGAAAAAAAAAAGGGGAGCAGCTGGTTTTGTCCCAGCGACAAAAACCACTCCATCAGCTTGGATCAACCCCAAATATTGTTGAATTTCTTTGTATTTATTCTTTCTTGTCCTCTTTTTAAACCATCCCAGACTTTAAAGGGTTTTGAATGATTTTTAGTGGGGGACAGGGAATAAATAAGCATATTGCATTACCGCTGGCAGGATAAAGATGAAATTTAGCAATTACTATCCACAAATCACTCCTGCCCAATCTCTTTAATGGTGAAGACATGCAGTGAAGTGTTTCTGCCCAGGATGGCATTGAAATTCCAGCCTGGAGTCCCAGCCTGGCCTGCTGCTCAAGGCTGGAATGCCCCTGAATTTGGCATTTGCCTTTGCTGACGTTCCAGAGGTTCCTGCCAGCCCCTGTCACCCTGGACACTCCCTGCCTCCAGCCAGTGTTCTCCCCAAATTTAACAGGCTCCTCCAACTCGCCAAAAGCCCCATGCCACCATCCAGGCTGACTGGAGTCATGGACCAGCACGGATCCATTGACCTCTGAGGGATTCCCAGCTGCCAGCTGCACTTGGCACTGCTCCCCACCACTCAGATTTGGGGAGCCCAGCCAACTTTCCAGCCAGCTATCAGTCCGTGTGTCCCCAGCGTGGCTCTAAAGGTGCTGCAGGACTGTGCCAAAGGTCTCCCCGAAGCCCGACCTACAACGCAGGCACTGCCAGCTTTCCCAAAAGGCACTCAAGAACCTTTTGCCCTTGGGAGTCCATCCTGGCTGCTCCAAATCACCTTTGTGCCCCTTCAAGGAATGGAAAAGAAGCCTCAAAAATTGTTTCCAGGAGGTTTTGCTGTGTAGTTTACCCAGGAACTAAGGTAAAGCTGCTGTTCTCAGATCCTCCTCCCGGCAGTCTTTGAAAATGGGTCCAGTGTTTGCCTTTCTGCAGCCATCAGGAAGCTCTCCTGACTGCCATGACCTTTCCAAGGTGACAGGGAACTATCCCACTGCAGCTCTGGAGTCCCAGTAAGCTCCAAATCCTGCAGCTGCACCTACCCTGTCCAGTTCCATTGCACAGCTCCCAGCTCACAGGGCTTGGCTGGGATGGAGTTAATTTTCTGCACAGTGGCTGGGATGGGGCTGTGCCTGGGATTTGTGCTGAGAACACAAAGTTCCGGGCACAGATAACTCAGGGATGTTCCCGTTATTGCTGAGCAGTGCTTACACAGCTCAAAGCCCTTCCTGCTCCTCACACCACAGAATGGTTTGCGTTGGGAGGGACCTTAATAATAATCTTATTCCACCTCTGCCATGGGCAGGGACACCTTCCACTTGTCCCAGGTTGCTCCAAGCCCTGTCCAGCCTGGCCTTGGACACTTCCAGGGATCCAGGGA